TCTGTGGTAATAATAATAATATCCTAACCTTCTGCAGGGCTTGGCATTCTCAAAGCACTTTATAAACATTAATTAGGTCTTCAATAACCAGAGACACTGTCTCATTGTTGGTTTTTCCTGTTATAGCATCACTGAGAGTCTGCAATCTTTCTAGAGTTGAAATATTTATTTATTTATTGCTTTTCATGTATATTTACTCCATTGACGATGCTTTAAAATGATAATAGGCAGAAGAGAAAGGTTCAGGGATCTATTTTTGCAAGCAAGAAACAGGCCAGAATAACAATAGTGCTTCTCATTGTTGGAGTGAACACAGCCTGCCAGGGACTCCTCTGTTGGCTTACGGAATTCCTACTTACCTTACCCCATGTCAAACATGCTATTTCCATCCTTTCAAATTGCATCTGTTTTTCTCACCCTGTAACCCCACAGTGCCCAGCAGGGTGCTTTACGTTATCACAGGTTTTCAATAGATGTTTGCTAGATTGAGTTAAATCAAAGCTCCACCCCCACCATGTTTCAGTCATGCAGAACCCTACCACCACTGGCCAGGACCCTTCTCATATTTTGGAAACTCTGATTTATTTGCTGATATCACTTGTTTTTCTTTTGTCTGATTATCAGTGGACTGAGGATAGAAAGGTGGTAGAAGGATATAAATGTAAATGTGACAGTCATCCAAGCTTCAAAAGCAAATGCACAAACATCCTGTTTATCATCAACACTTAGTGAATGCCTATGTTCTTCATGTGCTATTGGAGTTGTTGGAAATACAAAGATCAATAGGGCTGCAAGGATGGAACAGTTTTTGATTTTGGACATCGAATTGATTCCATTTAAATGTGCTATATTTTATATGTTTATATTTTCAATTGTAATGCATTAAAACAGTTTTTGGGGGTGCTAGTTCCATGGAGGCTGGAGATAACCTGGTGTTTACACAGCAATGCTGTATTACTGTTGTAACTCATCCATTAACCTGTTTCCTCTTCTCTTTTGCAAATAAATTCTAAGATTGCGAAATTCTTGCTGAGAGACATAGACAAAAGAAAGGAAGAGATAGGATACTTTTCCTTTAGTTAGAATCATGTCTAACTTCTGGCAACTTGAGTGTAAATCAAAATGACAGCCCTGTGAGTTTCAGATCCTGTGAGTTTTCTCTTATGCCTGTTTTCTGACTAATTCTGTGCTGGGCAGTTTGAAGGCTGCAAATTCGAGACTGAATTGATGACGCCTTCTGAAACAGAGCCATGATAGATTTAAAACCTGCATCTTGGGGCCAGCTCAGTGGCGTAGTGGTTAAGTTCTCACACTCCACTTCAACAGCCTGGGGTGTGCAGGTTCAGATCCCAGGCACGGACCTACGCACCGCTCATCAAGCCATGCTGTGGCAGGCGTCCCATATATAAAGTAGAGGAAGATAGGCACGGATGTTAGCCCAGGGCCCGTCATCCTCGGCAAAAAGAAGAGGATTGACAACAGATGTTAGCTCAGAGCTAATCCTTACACACACAAAAAAACCTAAAAAAAAACTGCATCTCAATTCTGTGGTTCAGGGCTCTGAATCCCTAGAAGTTATGTTGAGACTCTTTAAACAACAAATGTGATTCTACACATAAGAACTGGGTTCATTCTCTCTTGGAATTCTTGTAGTTATAAGAACTTAAACAGGCAACAGCAAACAGGCCTAGAGGATCCTAAACCAGTTGCAGGCATATTTAAAAGTTACAAATTAAACTAGTAAAGTGTTAAATAAAATATGTTCTATACTCCTACATTTTCAGGTATATTTTCGTAAAATAAAATATAAAATATGTGATTGGAGGAGTAATAAAATAAAGACATAACTATTTATGAATTACAAATATAAATATAAAATGTTTAAGATAATATGAATATAAATATTCCAAAATTTAATTTTCTTGCCTCCATTTCTGCAAAATCCCTAAATATGTTTTTATAATGGAAATTTTCACAAAATTTGAGCTCTACTGATAGTAATAATTAAAACATCAATTAAAAACAAAATATAATCCGAGTATACACAATTTGAATGTTATCATCAAAATATGAACATTAAAATAAAAGTGAAAAGTTTTTAATGGCATTATTTTCATATTTTTATTTTTTTATTTTATTTTATTTTTGTGAGGAGGATCAGCCCTGAGCTAACATCCATGCCAATCCTCCTCTTTTTCTGAGGAAGACTGGCCCTGAGCTAACATCCGTGCCCATCTTCCTCCACTTTATATGGGACGCCGCCACAGCATGGCCTGACAAGCGGTGTGTTGGCGCGTGCCTGGGATCCAAACCCAGGCCGCCAGCAGTGGAGCGTGCGCACTTAACCGCTATGCCACAGGGCCGGCCCCTATTTTCATATTTTTAAAATTAAATATTCAAAATTATCTATTAAAGTTAAAAGCAAATACAAATTATAATTATTATGAAACTTTTAAATAAAATTTAAACAAAGTTGAAAATGTTTATTTAATTTTTTGATATTTCATAATTCTTATTACATATTTTTATAAAAATTATGCATGATTCCCGCATTTAATAGTCATATTTTAATTGCCAATGCATTATGCATGTTGTATGTGAAGTTCTGTATACCCAAACTTAGAGTAATGTAAATTGTTTAATATTGAAAATATTCCTCAGTTACCATACGCAACCTCTTTGTTAGTAATTCTGGAATCACAAACTAGAACACAAAGAAAAGCAAAGAAATGGTCATTCGTCTCTACTAGGACACAAAATTCATTGATAAAATAAGATAAAGCTCATATTATCTGAGAGGACTTGACACGTTAATGAATTTATCTTTTCCTTTTCCTAAATATTTGTGTCTCTCGAATCCTCTTTGCATTTCTAAGTAGTGTTTGTCTCCAAGAGTGAGAATTTTAACCCACCAAAGTAAATCAAGGGAAAATGAGGAGAGTCAAGTCAAAGTTCTCATGGCTGCATACATGCTCAATAAACCGTTCGCTCAAAACATTAAATAGCTCTAGGTTCTGCAAAGATTGTGATTTATTCCCTGGCCCAAAGGTAATATTGCACAGTTTTGGGATATAGATAATAAGGCCAAATAGTCATGGATGGGACTTCTATAGCACATGATGCAATCATTTATTCTCAGCTAAGGCCTTTCTGGTGTCAGAAACCTTCTGAGCTGCAGTTTCTTTATCTGTAAAAGCGATAATAATTTCTCGTTCATAGTACCACTGTGCGAATTAAATATATAACCACTCTAGAATGCCTGACACACAGTAGGTTCTCAAAAAATAGTAGCTATTAGTATTGACTGGCAAAGAATTACGACAACTGGCGATACTGAATTCATTCATCAATCTAATAAATATGGATTGCTCCTACAATATGCCATGTGGCTGGGCAGACTGCTCAGGAGTCGAAGGCTGCTGTTTTGAGTGACAATTTTGTGGGGGCTGTAGACTTGTGCAATAGAGATATGAAAATGCTGTGGAAGCACAAATAACAGAAGAGCTAACTTGGCTTGTGGGGTGAGGAAAGGCTTCTTAGAGATGTTACATAAGCTAGGAGGATGAGCAGGTGTTTCCTAGTAAAGAACGGGAAGTGCTTTGGGGCAGAGGATTGCAGGGACATGGGGTCATGACAGGGTTTTCACATTTGAAAAAAGCAAAAAGTTGGAGAAGGGCAGAATAACCCCATCAGGCCCCTTAGATGTTTAAACTGAACTGACAAGACCCCGCTAATTTGTTTGGAAGCAGACCAGAGCTGCCATGTTAATCTTCCAACAGTGTGGCTATAATTGGCCTCAAAGAAAATTCCAGTTCTCTGCGATGTGCTTTTTCTTTCTTTTTTTTTTTTTTGCTGAGGAAGATTGGCCCTGAGATCTGTGCCCATCTTCCTCTATTTTGTATATGGGACACCGCCACAGCATGGCTCGATGAGTGGTGCGTAGGTCCGTGCCTGGGATCCAAACCTGCAAACCCGGGGCCGCTGAAGCGGAGTGTGCAAACTTAACCAGTACACCACCAGGCAGGCCCCTTGAGATGTACCACTTTTGACGAACTGGCTTAGGAAAGGATTGATGAAAGCCCTTCAGTACAGTAATGTTTGTTTGTTAGTACACACCACTTTTCTTAAAATATACCAAAATTGGGGGCAGAATGGAAACTGTTATTCTGGACCTAAGACTCATGATTTCTAGCTCTTCGTTCCCCTATAATTTCTGTGATCGGTTGCGCTTTTCACCAGGAGCACCCAGTGACTATTCTAAAAATTGCTGTAACCAAAAAATACAGGCTTCCTAGTTAATAACAAAACAGTGCTCAATTCCAGAAGAGGAAAGGGAAGACAACGCCATTTCTCTGCAGAAAATACATCCTCAAATCTTGTCAAGTGATGTGGAAAGCATCCAAAGTATTTGATTTGAAACTTGTGAGGGTAACACCATGGCTAAAGCATCAGAGAGAATTAGACTGAGCAAAAGGAAAAGAGCTAGCAGTGCAGGCAAATACCCTCGGATGGGCAGAACCTGACAAGGCAGACAGCCACCATTAAGGACACCTCCAATGCCCGCAGCAGATCTCCCAAAGAAAATAAGTACAATAGTTACTTTCAACACAATCTCACTGACGTGAGGTGGCATAGGTACGGGGTGTTGATAGCTGTGCAGGTGACAATCAATCTTTAGGCTCCAATAGAGGACAAGCTTGTAAATGGCACAGAAATTAAATTCATCCTGGAATAAGCTAGTTGCAGTATATCTGACACCACTGACACTTCTTATACACTGTGAATTCATCTACTACATAGTTTTAATAGTGATTCAACTTCATGGGAAAACATTTTTTATTTATATTCATTCAGTATTCTTCTTTAATTATAGTCTCTCATTATAAACTTCCAACATTTCACAGCTATTTAGGTAAATTCTGTAGAAAGCCTAAATTGGAAAATAGCTCTTTAATAGATTTTTAAAAATAAAATGACATCATTCATTTGAGTCCACTCACCATTCCGTGATTCAGCCACCCTGGGATAAAATTATCAAGCAACTTCGGGTAAATCATCTCTCTGTCATAGGCATAAATGATCCAGAACACCGCTACGACGAACTGGAAGGCAAAAGAAATTCTTTATTTCAAATTCACCAACCATTCACAACGTAAAATTTGTTGGTTATCTATTGTTCAAAGAACCCAACAGAACTGTAATCTAGAATGAAAGACAAATCAGTAAACCAGCTAATAACTGGAAAGATAGTTCTAACTTCATTCCATTAGTGGTAACTGTTGGCATCCCTCCTCTTTCCTTGATCTCCCAATTGTGGTCTCTCAGGCAAAGGGATTTGTTTATGAGAGAGAGAGAAATGGTCTGTCTGTCATCTGGAACAGCTCCCTTCCAGGGCTAATTGTGTTGGTTTGATTCCTCTCAAGAGGGTTTAAAAGTTCAATAGTGGTTTTTTGGATCCCGTTCCCCACTGTACAGAGTTAGCGCACATTCAAGAAACTGTACTGTATTCTCCTTGAACCCATCATGTGGTTTAAATTAATCCTCACATTCTCAAGTTTCTATTTCACCACTAACAGCATTGAAATCACTGCTATAAAATGCCCCGAAGTCACATTTCCAGCAAATGTATTAATTTACATGGGCTTTAGCTGTACTGAGAAGTGGAGTGTATGGAGGGTAAAAGAAGATTCTTAATTCTCTTGGAATAATTTATAAGTTCATCTGGGTTCCAGAGGTTTATTTTGACCCATCAGCAACATAATCATCAACGAGAGTGGGGTACTCAATTTATTATCTTATCTTTCCTCAAACTAATGATGAGAGAAGAAGCTCAGATAAAGAAAGAAATGAACTGCCCAAGGTCTTAACCTTCACTATAGATTTAAAAGAAAAAGCAAATACTTTTGTAAATAGTCAATAAGTACAGCATGGAAAAGGGAACCATCCAGAGGGAGGGATCAAGTCTCTTCAGACTTACAGCTCAAAATAATAAATACGACAAGGATAAAATGTACCATGAGTATCAAACAGAAACAATTTTTATCTCACATCTTATAAGTCATCCATGTCCCCACATTTTATTAATAACAAATACTTCAATGCCACTTTTTGTAAAATCCCCAGTGGTTATAGCTTAAGGCTAGTAGTCAGAAGGGTTCCAAAGTTCTTTTCCAAGTGTGTCAGCTATGACATGGGTAATCTTGGCCAGAAAAGAAATTCACCCTCAAAACCTAGGATGCGATGAATATTTATTAATATTTTATAAAACATACTGAATAATAATTACAATAGGCAACTGTAGATTACACACATCATTTTAATACCAGATTGGGGTCCCCAGTTATTTACCCTGCTTTTGGGTCAACTATTTTCACTCAGTTGATAAATGCACAAGATGAAAAAAGACAAAAAACTAATATTAGCTTAATGTTAACTATTATTAAGAACTTTCCAAGAACAATGAACAATTGTTGAGTTATCCACAATTTTGGTTTATTCATTCCACTGTGACTTCAAATGTACCGAATATCAGTGTGACCTGTCCTCAGACCTGGGCCGCACACTTCACAGCCTTGCTACTCAAAGTGTGGTCCCATGGATCAACAGCCCCCATGGCACGGGTGCTGAATGCCAGGTCCCATCCTGATACGTTCTGATCTTGCCTTTTAATAAGAGCCTGAGGTCATTCATTTGGACATGAAAGCTTGAGGTATCCTGCTGTGGAAGGTCCTACTCCAGCCACCTGGAGCCTCCTCCCTCCCATGGAGTAAGGCGATACCAGGGCCAAGTGGCTTGTCTTCCCAGAGCCCGCCCCTCTCCTCTTCTAGATCACACCCTGAGAAGTCATGACCCTGCCCAAATAGACACAAGTGTGCCTCAGGGCCTGTGTGGGCCTCCTTCCCGGATCTGACCCAGGAAGGTTGACTGCACAATAAATGTGTGTAACCCTGAGAGATGGTTAAGAGGCATCTGTTTCTGCAGGGTGAGGACCAAAGTTTTCCATTTGGTCTGGTGTCCACACACAGGCATGAAGTGTTTCAATCCTGGATGGAGCCATGGAAATCTCTTTACCTTTGCAGTATAATGCAGCCTAATTAGAGAGCGACATCCCCTCCCATGCACAGGTCCCTCCCACACTCAAGGGGAAGGGATTACACAGGCCTGTGTAGCAGGGGGTGGAACCTTGGGGCCGTCTGAGAATTCTGCTGACGATATGCTTCCACTCTACTTCTCATCCAAAATTGTTTTGGCTCTTTTTAAGTACTTTGCATTTCCATTTAAATTTTAGAATCTCAGCTTGTTAATTTCTATAAAAATACCCTCCTAGAATTCTGCTTATGACTGTACTGAATCAATATATTCAATTTGGGGAGAAATAGTATCTTCACAACACTGAGTCTTCTAACCCACGAACATAATTTATGTCCCCATTTATTTAGATCCTCTAGAATTTCTCCATACTTGTAGTTTTTGGTGTACAGATCTTGCACATGTTTTGTTAAACCTATCACTAAGTATTTCACGTTTTTGTGCTATTGTAGGTAGCATTAAGTTTTTTTACATTCTTTGTTGCTAATATATAAAAATACAATTGATTTTTGTATCTTGACACTGTATCCTGTATCTTTGTTAAATTCACTTAGTAGTTTGAGAGGTTATTTAAAAAATTATTGTAGGGGCCAGCCCAGTGGCATAGTGGTTAAGTTCTGACACTCTGCTTCGGCGGCCCGGGGTTCGCAGGTTCGGATCCCAGGCGCAGACCTACACACCGCTCATCAAGCCACACTGTGGCGGCATCCCATATAAAGTAGAGGAAGATTGGCATAGATGTTAGCTCAGGGACAATCTTCCTCACAAAAAAAAAAAATTATTGTAGATTTTTATACATACACGATCTGCAAATGAAGACAGTTTTTCTTCTACCTTTACAATTTGTATGCTTTTTACTTCTTTTTCTTTTCTATTGCACTACCTAGGGCCTTCAGCACAATATTCACTAGACATGATTAAGGGTGACCAGCCTTGCCTGCTTCTCTATCTTAGGGAAAGTGTTCAGTCTTTCAACATTTAAGTTTGAGATTAGCTGCAGGTTTTTCTTAGATGCCTTTTATCAAGCTGGGGAAAATCTCTCCTGCTCTTAATTTATGAATGTAATGAATGAGTGCTGAATTTTTTCAGATGACTTTGCTACATATCTTGAGGTGATCATACACTTTTTCTCCTCTATTCTGTTCATAGGATGAATTATATCAATTGATTTTGAATCTTAAACCAACCTAATTCCTGGTCATCCTGTATTATCATCTTTATATATCGCTGGATTCAACTTGCTGACATTTTATTAAGGATTTTTTTCCATCTTTATTCATAAAGTATATCGATACATAGTTTTCTTTTCTCAAAATGTCTTTTTCCAATTTTGGTAATAGGATAATTCTAGCCTCGAAAAGTAAGTTGGGGAGCCGGCCCTATGGCATAGTGGTTAAGTTCACATGCTCCGCTTCGGCGGCCCGGGATTCGCAGGGTCGGATCCCAGGCATGGACCTATGTACCACTTATCAAGCCACGCTGTGGCAGGCGACCCACATATAAAGTAGAGGAAGATGGGCACAGATGTTAGCCCAGGGCCAATCTTCCTCAGCAAAAAGAGGAGGATTGGCAACAGATGTCAGCTCAGGGCTAATCTTCCTCACCAAAATAATAATAATAATAATAATAATAATAATAATAAATTGGGAAGTATTCTCTCCTCTATTTTCTGAAGGACTTTGTCCAAGATTGGTATTATTTCTTCCTTACCTATTTGATATACTTCTCCAGTGGAGCCATCTGGACTTGTAAGCTTTCTTTTGACAAGGTTTAATTGTGGATTCAATTTCCTTAATAGATATAGAGTTTTCCGGCTTTCTATTTTTTCTTGAGTTAGTTTTAGTCATTTTTGCCATTTCATCTAAGTTTTTGAATTTATAAGTTACTCTTAATATTCCACTATGGAAATTGGCAAACACTACAAATCAGGTATTTCTTCCCTGGAGAGTCGGTTGTTCGTCATTTACCAGCACACCACTGTTGAGAGCTACTTTCTGTTTACTCTGAGTGATCATTCACTGTGTCCCTACCACATGGAAAGCACTGTGGGATCAATCCTTATTCGTGCCATTTGGTCAACCCTTTGACTCCTACCATATATTGCGGGATTACACGGGTTATGAAAAGTAAAGTGACTTTCAAGAAAGTATCAGTCACCTTTCTTAGCATAACACTAGAAGGTCAAGAGGCACAGCTGAGTAATTAGCCTCCTAAATAATTCTTGAGATATAAACACAGCACAGATGGTAGCTTTTTGGCTTCCTGTACTGATATCCTCTTGACAGTATGGTCATCAGCAAACCCAAAATAAGTTTGAACTCTACTACCAGGGCACGGACATGAAACAAAAATAGGTTCTCTTGTACAGGCGACGTGATATTGAAACGTTCCACTGTCGTGAAGAAGCTCCTTGTCTTGCCAGCACCAATGGCCAGCTATTCCTCAGTGCCCACCTGCCACTTCTCAGCTGCCAGCACCAGAATACTGTACTTGAACTGGGAATGGGAGGAACGCAGTCACTTTCCAGTCCTTCAAGCTTCCCAGACAGAAGACTCGTGTTACAGCTAGTCACTGAGGCCTCATTTGAACCCCCAGAACCAACAGAAATGAACGCAAAAGAAAACCGGATTCACACTTCGTCTCTTTTTGTAAGGAGTCTCTCACACGGAGTCCAGTAGGAGCTGAAGCTAATCCGCTTTAGTCCACATCTAAGAAAAAGCTTTACTGATCCATGAGAACTTCTTTGCAGTTCAGTAAAAATGGATTCGAATGCAAAGGACATCACAGAGAAATCTGCCATGAAGGAGGCTAAAGAGAAAAGTCACTTATCTACAGAGTGGTGTACAAGGGCCATTTAGCATGATCTCAAACACCCACTGTTGAAGGAGGGAAGGAAGGAGAAAGGGAGGGAAGGAGGAAATAAATGAACACATCTTTAGAGTCTTCAGCTCCAACATGACACCATCCTACGAAACGAATCTATTAGTACTCAGACTTTACCAAACACTGATTG